ATTACAAATTGCGACAGCTTTTTTATTACAAAGCGCGACACGGTTTATTACAGATTGCGACAGGTATTACAAAGTGCGATGATTATTACAAATTGCGACAGTACATTGTCTCTCTTGCTTTGAAAGCAAAAAACAGGATTCAAATAAGATGGAATTTCCAGCTCGCCCTTTGGACAAGCTGGAACCATTACACGGAAGTTTGAAAGCTTTTCTCAGTAGCATTACGTAATTAGAAAGAAAAAAACGTTCACTTGTTCAGTGGGCAAGTGATCTGTTGGGCAAGTACAGAGAGTGATGCATATAACATCCACTAGCCTGACAGGGAAATCAACTAGCCGCAGGTTAGTGGAGATGCATTTCTTTGTACACTGAATAAAGATGAAACTCTTTATTACTTTGAAAGAAAGATGTAAACTTCAAAATGCATTGCGTGTAAAGGTGGTTTTTAATAGCCTAAAGGGTGAATTTTGAGTGGCTGTTGATGTTCAAGTTATTAAACTTCAAAATTTGTGTTTGAAATTTCCATTAAAAAAAAATATCATGCAAGGACAGGGAGATTAAAAAAAAAATCCTGCAGGGCTGGAGCAATAAAAAAAAATATCTAGCAGTCTAAAAATCCTGCAACCCCCCCATCAAAAATCAAATGGTCCACCCCTTAGCTTAGGCGCGGCGGATTTTGTCACGTATGACCAGCGCGAGGTGTTTTTCCCGACACCCTTCTGTCAGGAAAATGTCATCATATGAAAGCAAGCCAGACACGATCGCGTCGGCAGGCTGAAGCTGGCAAAAATCAGAAAAATAAAAGGCTTTTCTTCTTCCATTTCAGAGGCCAGTTTTGTTTCGATCTGGTCAAAATAAATCAGGTTCTTAGGTTGTAGGTAATAAAATATTGTCTTAGTCAGTTTTCAAGGACTTTTAGAAAACGAGATAATTGACTCGACAATGAAGGTGGTGGTGAAAACGCTTTTTTGGAAGAAAATACTTTTTAATTCCCACAGCGATTTTGCGAAATCGCGAAGCACAATAGTTCAGTTTCTTCTAAAGCCGTCATGATTAAGCAGTAATGCCATCACAACTAAAAATGAAGTTACTTTGTATCGCAAAAGCCGCGGGAGCTTTGTCAAACAAACCGTTGGTACGGGTTTATTTAACCTAACCTGGAAAAGGAGACGCAGAATACATTTCATCCTACATATAGTTGTGATTTCGGAAACGGACCTCGGGAGCTCATTGCCGTAATATATATCGTCTACATTGCAGAAAGTACAGCAGAATCGCCTTGCTCGCGTGCTAACTTTCCGCCCCAATTATGACTATACAATACCAGTGAATTGTTTCAAAATTTAAAGCGGCCGAAACTTATTTCCATCAGGGCGTAGTTAGTTGGTTAGTTAGTTAGTTAGTTAGTTAAGTAATAATAATGCACAGCACTGTAAATAACACGGTTCTAGAATATCTGACGGCTTCGCGTTTTGTTCGTCTCTGCATGCGATTTAATCTCTTATAACCTAACAGAAAATGCATGGATACAAGCTCGCTGTTCAACCCCGCACTGAATTTTAAAAAAGACGCCTTTCCTATGACGGAAGAGTGTGGTGGAACAGCTTGTCCCTGAAGGTGCGGCAATAATGTTTTTAAAGAAAAATTTAAAAAACCTTCATTTAGATATAAATATCTTTACACAAGGCCTCCAGGTTTAGCAAGTTTTTTATTGTTATATCGTTATTATTTTATTTTTTTTCTTAGATTCATTTCTAGCTTAGTTATTAGTAGTTATTTTTTTTATACTTGAATGTAAATGTACCTGAAAGAAATACCGTGTAATACCTGAAAGAAATACCTTACTTCTGTGATGTGTGTAAATTTGTCTTTTGCTATGGTTTTAGACAATACGACTTCCCCTGACTATCAGTTGTGCGTCAAAACAATGTATCAAGAGCGCGGTAAAGAAATAGTCGAAGTGCCACGGTGTAGCACTTTCTGACAAAGTTTTAACTGGAAGAGGTGTTGCCATCTGATGTACACCTGTATAGTCTATGTTTGTAAGCTCTGCCTAAAGAATCACTGGGGTTACACTGCACCCATGGGTGTGCCACCTAAAGTGCAGCCTATGTTTGTAAGCTCTGCCTAAAGAATCACTGGGTTACACTGCACCCATGGGTGTGCCACCTAAAGTGCAGCCTATGTTTGTTAGCTTTACCTAAAGAATCACTGGGTTACACTGCACTCATGGGTGTGCCACCTAAAGTGCAGCCTATGTTTGTTCGCTATACCCAAAGAATCACTGGGTTACACTGCACCCATGGGTGTGCCACCTAAAGTGCAGCCTATGTTGGTTAGCTCTACCTAAAGAATCACTGGCTTACACTGTACTCACGGACGTTTGCCTCGCGCTCTCTTCAAAGAAAGAAAAGCTATAGACTGTTTCGCCAAAAATCAAGTTTGGTTTCGAAAAAAATTTGACACCATATTGGGCCCCGAAAGACGTTAAAAGTTCCTCAATAATAGAGGAGTTTTTTGCTAGAGTTAAGAAGTTTGGCTTACATGAGTTTCAATATAAAGGTGCAAAAACTTATCAGCATAATTATAGCACACACATACATTGTCATCAAACTCCTGGCATGTCATGGCATGTAGCCTGAATAAGCCAAGAAAATAAAGCATATATAGAAATGTTCGTCAAATGGTCTCGTTAAGTAAATTATACTTCACTTTGCGAATGAAATTTATCGCTTGTATCCGTGTTACGCATCGAAAAAGTGAGGTGTCATCGCCTGACATTAGGTAACAGAGGTGACACTCACGGGCTTCACGAATTCCAATTCCGGGATTTTTCACCGAGAAACAAATTTAAAACTTCAATTCTTACCCTACAGTTGTCGGTTCATTTACCTTACATTCGCCAACACTAGTAAACATGAACAAAACGATGAAATCCGGCACTCTTCTTTCAGAAGTAGCAAGCCGCACGAAGTAAAATCCACCGATATGCGCTGCATTCGCACTACAAATATAAACATTTGTCGTGGAGAAAATACAACGAGGAGGAAAAAATGCCAGGTCTTCGCCTCGGCAATGTCTTCCATCTACCAAGCCGGCGTATCTCCAGAAGGTGGACTCGAAGAGGGACAAACCTTATTATTTTTTTAGAAGCCCTCTGCGCGCAAACTAATTTATTCTGGCGCGAAATGAAGATTAAGAAAATGTATCTGAAATCTAATACACGACAAGGAAATTTTCGCACTTTCGAGGAGTGCGACATATTAAATGGGATTAAGTCGGATTAGCTGCCCACGGAGAAAACATCCCTGCGTGGGATTGTACTTCCAGTAAAAAGCCTCTGTGTGCTTTCATGACCCTTCCGCGGTTTTTTCAAAATTTTAACATGGACGAGTTAGAAAGAATCCTTTGATACCACTGCAAAGAGCGCCGTAAAATTTTTTAGTTCGGCAACTTTGAAAGTGGTACGTCTTAAGCAAAGATATAGCTCTTCAAAATTACAGACTTTTTTCATGAGGGTGGGATGTAACTTACTAACGTCTATGTATACTTTTTCAACTTTTAGGACCAATATCTGCGTTAGTTTTCAACAAATTATTTTCAAACACGGAAATTTTACTTTTAAGGGAACTCGTTTCAGCCGAGTAGATGGATTTTGCGTAAATTGTTCAGGTCAAAAGTTTAACAAGAGTAAGAAAGAAAGAAAGAAAGAAAGAAAGAAACGTGGCAAGGTCTATGGATTGCGCCTCCAAAGTCGAACACTTTCAAACTCTTAATTTTAAACAAACCTTTCAGGGAACAAATGTTTTATTCACGGGGTCCAAAGGTCGCGTCTGTAAGTTTTCATTGGTAAATTGCGATCCTTCCTGTTTGTTCAGTTTCGTCGTAATCTATTTGGATAACGGTAACTGTTTGTCAGGGTTTAGACTTAAGAGTACGCTTGTTATTGAAAAGTGCAGTAACAAAAATTTTGATTATTAATAAAAATATGTTATTGCAAATCCAGTACGTTTCCATTGCAAGAGATGATAATAGTCCTATTATGGTCTCTTGGTCATAGATAGTGAGTGGGCCAATCAGGAGAAAAATAGTCCTAACGACTTTTTATGGCTGGATGGCTGCGACTCTCTTACGCACTTCTTCGCAGCATAGCCTTTAGCTTTTATTCTTGACTACTTCAGGGGCACCCAGGGACTGTTTTCTGTAAAGTCTGATTATCTGTTCGGAGGAGCAAATATTGCCAAGAATTTTCTTTGACTTGAGGACGGCTAAAAATTTCTAGACTTTTCTTATCACACCTCGATGACGGATGTCCATCTGTTCGACATCATGTGCACGAAGTTGATTCATACCAGAAAACAAATCCTACATGGCAGTGAATGCACACTCGGTTTTGTAAAACCATTTGCTTCCTTTTCTTGCAGAACTTTTTTGGCTGCAGATTGCATACACTTGTCATTGATGTGTTCAAATACACATCTCATTTTTGTTGGTGTGTTTTTGCATGCCTCATTTATCTTGTGTGTCTTCACGCCTCGTTCCAACTGTGTGTTTTAAACTTGATAGTCGCTTTTAAGAATTGTACCTTTTACGAGGACTTGTGGTAACATGCCAATTTTTGAAAAATTTGTTTCAGAAGCTGTAAAGTAGTGCAAGCTTTGAGGTATGTGAACATATATAGCTTGAACATAATGGGTAACTCTCTTGAGCAGTACAGAATAGTTACTGGAATGCACTGCAATTACTTGAAAGCACGAGAAAGTAGGGAATGCTTTAAAGGAATGCTTAGTGTTACTTTTTTACATGGAAGCAATATACTTACCTGTTTTAAAATCACTTGTTCATCGTTTTGAGCTTATGCAAATCAATCGCCTGTGGCTTACCCAAATATATCTTTACAGATTTTACATTCCTGATTTGATATCATATTGAACATTTCCTACTACCTCACATGAATAGGTCATTAAACAGTTATTTAGCCAACTCTCATATGACCAGAAATGGAGTTTGGGGAACAGACAGAAATTTTCAGTGCAGCTTCACTGTTATCCACTGACATTTTTGTTTACACCCAATTTGGGGAAACACATAAATGGCTGAAATTTTCAAGAACCATGATCGATGGTAAAAAACCTGGAAATAGTTGTTCAATCTATTTAAACCACTCCAAACGAATTCACTATGATGTAGTGCAAGATGTTTGTGTAAGTGATTTAAAGCACCAATTTTCTCAGAATTCCAAGTCAGATGATATCGGTAGCTATAATAAGAAAGAAACAATTATCACTAAAAAACCATCAGAAAACACATGCCATACTACGCAAAGACAGACAAAGGTGATGTTCACAGAGGAGGTTGCTAAACCGCAATGCAAAAAAAGAAAACCTGAATCAGATCAGAAAATAGCACATGCTAAAGAAGCTAGACTGGTTGATGGTCAAGTTCGCTTTAACTCACCATCCGTCTCTTCAGAATGAACCAGAAGGTACCATCATAATAACCAATAGTAATTTGTATTCCCCTACAAATGATGTTGAAACTAACCCTGGGCCTAATCTAGATTTGGCAACTTGTATGTTTACCCGTTGCGATGAAGGTTCACAGAAATTTATGTGTTCTATCACTAATCTCCCATTAGCTGTAAAACATTGTCTAAAACCTTCTAAGCCACTTGGCAAACCCTCAAAAGTCATTCACATTTTAGGTGATGGAAATTGTCTTTTTCGAACATTATCATGTGCTGTATCTGGTAGACAAGTTTATCATACTCAAATGAGAGTGCAAATAATAAATCACATGTATCATATTGAACATTTCCTACTACCTCACATGAATAGGTCATTAAACAGTTATTTAGCCAACTCTCGTATGGCCAGAAATGGAGTTTGGGGAACAGACATAGACATTTTCAGTGCAGCTTCACTGTTATCCACTGACATTTTTGTTTACACCCAATTTGGGGAAGCACATAAATGGCTGAAATTTTCAAGAACCATGATCGATGGTAAAAAACCTGGAAATAGTTGTTCAATCTATTTGAACCACTCAAATCGAATTGACTATGATGTAGTGCAAGATGTTTGTGTAACAGATTTAAAGCACCAGTTTTCTCAGAATTCCAAGCCAGATGGTATCTGTAACTATGATAAGAAAGAAACAATTGTCATACGGAGCAAAGACAGACAAAATGCATGTTCAAAGGGAAAGCTGCTAAACCACAAAGCCAAAAAAGGAAACATGAATCACAACATATGATAACACATCCTAAAAAAGCTAGACTTGTTGATGATGAAGAAGCTTCTAACTCACCAAACACATCACAAACAGATGACAAAGTAGCAAATATGGTGTATCAAAGAAAGCAAAATCTTCATTTTACGATGCCTGTAATTAAAAAGACAATAGATAAAAAACCAAAATTGCATGCTAACAACAAAAACTCCTCACACACAAAAAAACAAATCAAAAATCCAAAAGCAGAAGATTGTTTCTTCCAAACTAAAAAAGATGCAAGACAATCAAAACAAAAGTTGTAAAAATGAAACGTTCGCGAAAACATCAACTATGATTGATAAATTGGCGTTAAAAAAATGACAACATTTCACAGATCCCTAGATTATACTATTTACCAATGTAAAATCTGTTTTGAGGCCTGGCCACAGAAAACCAAAATTCGCAGTAATAAAAAAACACTTTCTAACTACGTGTGTACCAACTGTTGAAGAGATAAGCAAGTTCCTAAAAAATTTTCAGAGGAGAATTATATGAAACCTTCTTCAGTGCCTAAGGAATTGCAAGGTTTAACAAATCGAGGAAATGTTAATAGCCAGAGCTCTCCCAATAATGAGAGTTTTTATAAAACCTGGAGGACAAAGAGGTTATTCTGGGCACTGTATCAATTTGCCTCAAGATGTTAAAGAGCTTGCCAAATCACTGCTTCGTTACCCAAAAGACATTCCTTTTATTCTCATAAAAATGACAGGAAAAGACAACTCTTGCAAAGAAGTCACTGTCAGAAGGCATAAAATTGAAGATGCATTGCATTGGCTAACCCTACATAATCCTCAATACAAATTAAGATGTTAAAATTGATCAAGACGCTTTACACTGTCTACCTGATGATGGTGTACCATCACAACTTCCAACATTTGAAACAAAAAGTGATGAACTTTTCGAGAACGACTCAGATCAGGATTCCTTAATTGACACTGAATTACATAATGATTCAGATGTAGTCTATAACAAGGACACTGAAACAAGTAGCTTTCTTCCTATTCAACACAATGGAAAACAGGAAAAAGAGGAAATTCAAGAGGAAATAACAGGGAAAATTATGAATTGGCCATCTATTCAAAATAAACCGTTCAATGAACATACAACACCATATTTAGCTAAAATGGCATTTCCAACATTATTTCCTGATGGAAAAGGTGATCCAACCAATCTCAGTTTAAACAGATAGTTCCTTTTGCTCAAAGCATTAAACATCTTTTAAAATATGGAGAATTCTTAGGTGGCAAATGGGTTTATCGTTTTGCAAAACATCCACGCTTTTCCTACTGGGCACTTAATATGATGCAAAAAAAGCGCACTTTACAACAAACTTCTGTGTTCATCAAACAGAATCCAGGTGATGCTCATCTCACAATAGAGCAATTACCTGAAATGAGATCAAAAAACGATTCCACAAGTTTTATGACAAAGCTATCAAGATATGTGGGCAACATTACAGGTAGTAATGCTTACTGGCATAAACGACGAGATGAATTGAAATCAATATATATAATAACCACCAAAGGAGCCCCAACCATCTTTTTTACTTTCTCATCTGCAGACATGCATTGGCCAGAATTGCATTCATTGTTTTCTAATAAACCACATGATTGCACCAAGGAGGAAAGGAGACAAGATGTAATAGACAATCCACACATTGTTGATTGTTTTTTTGATCAACGCTTACAACGTTTCATAAAGCATTGGTTGTATGGTACTCTTGAGGCTGAATGGCACTGGTACAGATATGCATTCCAAAAGCTAGAGGAAGCATACATTGCCACGGCACAGCTAAATTGAAGAATGATCCTGGTCTTTGTGAGCTTACTCAGGTTGCCTTGAAAGGATTTTTAGCTGAACAAAACTTAAAACAAGACTCTTGTGAACAAGAACAGAAACATTTGCAGGATATTCAAAAAGGCAAAATGGCAACAAAAACAATTTGTGACTATGTAGATTCACTCCTTTCAACATGGAATCCCAGCCCTCCTTGTCAAAATAACTGGTCGAAACCAAGTGTGCATCCATGCAAACTGCATTATTTAGACTTATCACACGATGAACAATGTAATGACTATGTAAACCTTTTGAATACTGTCCAGTGCCACACACGTTGCAGTACCAATTATTGTCTGAAGCACAAACAGAATGAATCTGATCTCAAGTGTTGTTTCAATTACCCATTTCATCTCTGTGATAAAACCAGATTAGAATTTGAAAAGATCCATACCAAAGACAAATCAGTTTAATACAGAGCTAAAATTGTTACAAAAAGAAATGATACACGACTGAATAACCATCAAAGAGTTCAACTTCAGGGCTGGAGAGCTAATTGTGACATTCAGGTTATCATTGATCATCATTGCATGCTTGCGTAGAATGTCTTGCAAAATATGCTGCAAAGGGTGAACCAAACTCATTGCAACTAAAAGATACTTTCAATACTGTTATCAAGTCATCAGGTTTTGAAAATGACACTAAGAAGGTAATAAAGAAACTTATGATAAGAAGTTAGGAGAGCGAGAAACTATGCACCATCTGCTTTCACTGAAATTACACAGCACCACGTTTCATGTCAAATCTTTTAGTTTAAATGGCTCTCGAAGACTACAAAAATCAGGAAATCCAGACAATAGAAATTGTACAAGTGATTCTTTTATTGATGTATATGCAAACCGTAATAGCTTTAGCAATAAGTTTCCTGGCATAGTGAAAACAAATTTCATGGAATTCGCTACAAAGTACAAACTAGCTAACAACAAACTTGAACAGCGAAATGATAATATTATTCCGAATGTGTTCCCAACATACTCTTCCAATCCAAAAGGAAAATATTACAGTTTATATTGCCAATTCCAACTTCTAAGATTTAAACCATGGAAAAATTCTCTTGATGATGCATGGGGCACCACAGAGCCAAACAATCAAACCTTCATAACTGAATGGCACAACTTTCTCAATACACCATATGCCAAAAAACATGTCCAAGACTGGTCTCAAAAGATTTCAGATGTATTAGAAAATATAGAGCTTCAAAAGTATGAAAACAGTAATAATCAAGAAAGACATCAGCAGGGAGAATGGATGATTCTATCAGTTTTACAAGTCAAGCCAGAAATTCAATAATGTCGAGCTCCCAAACTCGAACTATGATTGGACCTGATAGACTCTATGAAATATACTGCTCAACAAATTGGTGAAATGCCCTCTTGGATTGTTACATTAAAAGAAAATTTTCAACCATCACTGACCCCTACAGATGTGATTAATGTTGAATCTTTCAGTGAAATGCAAAAGCTTGCATATGACATAATTACAAAGCACTCAAAAAACAGCTCTGAAAAAGACGCTCTGCTGCTTATTATAAATGGTTGCAGGAACTGGGAAAAGCTATTTAATAAAAGCTTTGAAGTCTTATCTTAAACAGAAATGTGTTATCACTGCCACAACAGGAAAAGCTGCATACAACATCAGAAGGGTAACTGTTCATTCACTTTTAAAACTACCAACTTGTCCGCAGTCAGAGAAAGACCTGTCCGGTGAAAGCCTAATAGAATTACAGGAAAGACTTTCAAATACAGATTATATTCTTATTGATGAGTATTCAATGCTTGGGCAAAGAACACTTGGATGGATTGACAAACGATGTAGACAATCATCTGGTGCAAAAGAAAATTTGTTTGGTGGAAAATCAATAATATTGATTGGAGATCCAGCTCAATTGCCTCCTGTGTCTGACAAGCCACTGTTTCATGTAAAACCATCTAATCAGATTGGACAGCAGGGCTATTATGCTTACATGATGTTTAACCATGTAGTTACATTAACTGTTAATCAAAGAGTCAAAGGAACAGATCCAGACCAAATTGTTTTTAGGGATTTTCTTTTACGATTGCGTAACGGAGAAACATCTGAAAATGATTGGAAACTGCTATTAACTAGACAACCATCAGAAGCTAATAACATTGATCAATTCAAAACTGCCACTCGATTATTTTACACCAATGAGGAAGTAGCCAGTTTTAATGACAATTCACTCTTACAACTCAAACAACCAATTGCAAAAATTGATGCAAAACACTCAAGTTCTCAAGCTGCCAAAATTCCTCCTCAGGATATGTATGGGTTAGAACCAACACTACTTATTTCAAAGAATGCCCTTGTTATGCTTACAATGAACTTATGGCCATCAGTTGGTCTTTGTAATGGTGCAACTGGAACAGTAGATATCATTTATACCACCCCCCATAACCCTCCAGATTTGCCTGTTGCTGTTATTGTTAACTTTGACAATTATATTGGCCCCTCAATATCTCCAGAAATTCCTTCTTTAGTAGCTATAGCTCCTGTGACTGTTTCTGCAAAAAATGGCAATTCAGTTCATGAGAGACAACCGAGCTACCACTTAAGCGTGTATGGGCCCTAACAATCCACAAAAGCAAGGATTAACTTTACCAAAAGCATGGGTAAATATTGGAAAGTCTGAACAAACATTGGGCATCACATATGTAGGTTAAAGTAGAGTTAAAAATTATCTTCACTTGTTGTAGAGCCAATGACTTTTGATAGACTTAAAAGTATAAAAAAAAAATAACTCCTTGAAATACAGACAACAGGAGGAAAAAAGATTGAGTCAGCTTTTTGAAAGGACTAAAAACCTTTTCAAAAAACAAAAATGACTGAATGTATGTGACATCAAAAGTAACCAATAGTAACAATTTTCCTTTCAGGTGAAACAAGTATGAATAACCCAAGTGGTAAGTTGTTTGCCATTTTTACCATTCATTTTATAGTAGAAATAACAAGATTAAAAAAATGAACGATCCGGTAATACTTAAGGACACAATTTCTGAATGAACCTGTTAAAAAGTGTCTACTTCTCATACCCACAATTTTATCCTACCTGAATTTCAGCAGCATCTGATCACATGTCTTAGCCCAAATATGTGCAGTACCTTGAGTAATATTGGTTGTCAATCTGAACATTGTTAATAATCTCTCTTGAAATAAACATACATAAGAACCTGTTATATTGAAATCCTTAAGCAACTAAAATTACCCTATGGAATCCATCAAAGCCCAATACAACTTGTGGTATCTCTATCCAATTCACTTAAAAGATTGCCACAATATTATCTACTTCCAAAATTCCTATTCTTTTGATCTCATCGTTAATAACTCAATCTTAATGATTTTGTGCTTCCATTTCAGGACAAAGCATGGTTGGTTATTTACATAACCTCTCACCTATAAAGACAAGCCA